TCAGCAATCGACACACAATACCCCATAATGACAAAGCGAAAAGTTAAAAAAAAAATAATCTTTGCAAATTTTATAAAAAATTAATAACATAAATACCTTATTTACGTAAGTCCTCAGACCCTTTGCTATGAGACTCGAAATTGAGCTCAGGTACATCCTGTTTACATTTATCATCTTTCAGCTGTTTCTACAACTTGATTGGAGTCCACCTGTGGTAAGTTCAATTGATTGGACATGATTTGGAAAGGCACACACCTGTCTATATAAGGTCCCACAGTTGACAGTGCATGTCAGAGCAAAAACCAAGCCATGAGGTTGAAGGAATGTTCTGTAGAGCTCCAAGACAGGATTGTGTCAAGGCATAGATCTGGGGAAGGGTACCAAAACATTTCTGCAGCATTGAAGGTCCCCAAGAACACAGTTGCCTCCATCATTCTTAAATGGAAGAAGTTTGGAACCACCAAGACTCTTCCTAGAGCAGACCGCCCGGCCAAACTGAGCAATCGGGGGAGAAGGGCCTTGGTCAGGGAGGTGACCAAGAACCCGATGGTCACTCTGACAGAGCTCTACAGATCCTCTTTGGAGATGGGAGAACCTTCCAGAAGGACAACCATCTCTGCAGCACTCCACCAATTAGGCCTTTATGGTAGAGTGGCCAGACGGAAGCCACTCCTCAGTAAAAGGCACATGACAGCCCGCTTGGAGTTTGCCAAAAGGCACCTAAAGACTCTCAGACCATGAGAAACAAGATTATCTGGTCTGATGAAACCAAGATTGAACTCTTTGGCCTGAATGCCAAAGCATCATGTTGTGGGACTGTTTTTCAGTGGCAGCAACTGAGACTAGTCAGGATCGAAGCAAAGATGAACAGAGCAAAGTACAGAGAGTTCCTTGATGAAAACCTTCTCCAGAACGCTCAGGCCCTCAGACTGGGGCGAAGGTTCACCTTCCAACAGGACAACGACCCTAAGCACACAGCCAAGACACCGTAGGAGTGGCTTTGGGACAAGTCTCTAAATGTCCTCAAGTGGCCCCTCCAGAGCCCGTACTTGAACCCGATTGAAAATCTCTGGAGAGACCTGAAAATAACTGTGCAGCAACGCTCCCCATCCTACCTGACAGAGCTTGAGAGGATCTGCCGAGAGGAATGGGAGAAACTCCCCAAATACAGGCGTGCCAAGCTTGTAGCGTCATACCCAAGAAGACTCGAGGCTGTAATTGCTGCCAAAGGTGCTTCAACAAAGTATTGAGTAAAGGGTCTGAATACTTATGTAAATGTGATATTTCTGTTTCTTAGATTTAATAAATAAGCAAACTTAAAAACCTGTTTTTGCTTTGTCATTATGGGGTATTGTATGTATATTGATGAGGGGGAAAAAAAACAATTGAATCAATTTTAGAATAAGGCTGTAACCTAACAAAGTGTGGAAAATGTCAAGGGGTGTGAATACTTTCCGAAGGCACTGTAAGTCCATAGATGACGTGTTTTTTCCCCTGCCCCTGTTTCGAGACAGTTGAATGATAATGGTCCATTCTAAATCAAAACAAATTTCACACATATATTATTTAGTATATGTAAAGGCAAGATTCAATCAAGAATAGTCTGATGGGTGACTATTAGCCTATCACTTGTGAGTTATATATGATCACTTGTGAATGAAGCCCAGCATAAGGCAAGAAACAATGCCTTTTTCTCTCTCTACTTTTTCTAATCATAGTCGCACACCTCATGTAGCCTAGCCCATAGGCCTATATGTTTTGATTAGGTTTGTATCACAACTAAAGTGGCCAAATAACTTCTTAAAATTTAAGCACATTAATCCGCTTTACAAGGGGTGTAGAGTCTAACTGGCATACATAAGCAGTGCTTGAGTTTCAAGTTTGGGGAAGATCATTTTCAACATAAAAATGCACCTTTTTATAATAAAAGCATTACATGCATATTCGCATTTGCGGTGACTTTTGATTGTTGTTTTCCCGCAAATAGAACATTTGAGCGTATAGCCTAGAGCCGTGTGCGCATTGCTGTGCTTATAATGTGAAGACATAGCCTAATAGTTTATCAACATTTTAAGCTAAACGTTCTGATCTGTTGCGTTAGCCTCATTGCGTAATTTTTTTGGGGGGATGCTAGTGGTTGTATTCATTTGGGATCTATCGCATCCCACAACCGTCCCAGACTATGTTTGGAATATTTATTTCTCACATAGAATAGGTCAACTTTTGTTATATTGGGTATAGTAGATTGACATAGGCTAGTGCTTTTGCTGTTTGTTTGGCCTACTCATCTTGTTGGCTGACGAAAAGTAGATGTGGACAGTTCTTCCAATATCTTCAATATGCCCGTCGGAATTGGATAAGGACGTGCGCAATTGCACCCCGATGTGTCGGTCTTCACTTGTAGCCTGAGGTGCTTTGGAGCATGAAGCCGGGAGAAGGGAATTATATTTATTATATTCAGCCCAAGGGCACAGCGGCCGCTGGCCACAAAGGCATGGATTTTTTTAGGGGGCATTATGGCCACTCAAAGGTGATGCCGCCGGGAAATTCGAGGCATTCATCAAGTGCTTGTCAAATTTGAATGAGTGACTGATGAAGTGTGTACAGCCTGCGTAAAAAACAAAGCAGAGCTCATGCCTTTCATGCGACTTCTTTCAAATCATCATTAGAGTCGCATCATGCAGCCTTAGAATGTATTAAAAATCAAAACATATAGCCCAACAGTTACATAAATAACTCTAAATTAAGCATATACACTACCGGTCAAAGGTTTTAGAACTCCTACCTATTCAAAGGTTTTTTGTTATTTTTACTATTTTCTACATTATAGAATAATAGTGAAGACATCAAACTATGAAATAACACATATGGAATCATGTAGTAACCAAAAAAGTGTTAAACAAATCAAAATATATTTGAGATTTTTCAAATAGCCACCCTTTGCCTTGATGACAGCTCTGCACACTCTTGGCATTCTCTGAACCAGCTTCACCTGGAATGCTTTTCCAACAGTCTTGAAGGAGCACTTGTTGGCTGCTTTTCTTTCACTCTGCTGTCCAACTCATCCCAAAACATCTCAATTTGTTTGAGGTCGGGGGATTGTGGAGGCCAGGTCATCTGAAGCAGCACTCATCACCGTCCTTATTGGTAAAATAGCCCTTACACAGCCTGGAGGTGTGTTGGGTCATTGTCCTGTTGAAAAACAAATTATAGTCTCACTAAGCGCAATACCAGATGGGATGGTTTATCGCTGCTGGTTAAGTGTGCCTTGAATTCTAAATCAATCACAGACAGTGTCACCAGCAAAGCACCCCCACACCATAACACCACCTCCTCCATGCTTTACGGTGGGAAATACACATGCAGAGGTCATCCGTTCACCCACACCGCGTCTCACAAAAATACGGCGGTTGGAACCAAAAATCTCCAATTTGGACTCCAGACCAAAGGACACATTTCCACCGGTCAAATGTCCATTGCTCGTGTTTCTTGGCCCAAGCAAGTCTCTTCTTCTTATTGGTGTCCTTTAGTAGTGGTTTCTTTGCAGAAATTCGACCATGAAGCATTTATTTGGGCTGCAATTTCTGAGGCTGGTACCTCTATTGAACTTATCCTCTGCAGCAGAGGTAACTCTGGGTCTTCCATTCCTGTGGCGGTCCTCATGTGAGCCAGTTTCATCATAGCGCTTGATGGTTTTTTGCGACTACAGTTGAAGAAACGTTCAAAGTTCTTGAAATGTTCTGTATTAACTGACCTTCATGTCTTAAAGTAATGATGGACTGTCGTTTCTCTTTGCTTATTTGAGCTGTTCTTGCCATAATATGGACTTGGTCTTTTACCAAATATAGCTATCTTCTGTTTACCACCCCTACCTTGTCACAACACAACTGATTGGCTCAAACGCATTAAGAAGGAAAGAAATTCCACAAATTAACCTTGAAAAATGGCACACGTTATTTGAAATGCATTCCAGGTGACTGCCTCATGAAGCTGGTTGAGAGAATGCCAAGAGTGTGCAAAGCTATCATCAAGGCATAGGGTGGCTATTTGGTTTGTTTAACACTTTTTTGGTTACTACATGATTCCATATGTGTTATTTCATAGTTTTGATGTCTTCACTATTATTCTACAATCTAAAAATAAATAAATAACCCTTGAATGAGTAGGTGTTCTAAAACTTTGACCGGTAGTGTATGAGTACCTGTGTCTCTGTTAATCACGCAACGTAGAATAGCCGCATGTGCGCACTCCCTCAAATAGTTTGGAGAAAATATCCTGTCAGTTTTTTTCAGCTTTGTTCAATAGTATTCTTCATACTATAAAATAATGCCACAGAATTCTAAACAAATCTTGTCTGATAAATGAACTAGTGTAGCCCACGGCCATATGGCATAGCCATAACATAAGGACAACTCACAGTATGCTATTCTGTTCTTCTGAAAAGACTACATTTTCTTCATATCATGTTTCTTTTGACCTGTCTAAAATATATACTGGATTTATTGTGATGGTGTAGGCTATATTTTTTTTTATGTAGATGCTCCAAAAGTCTGCATAAGTGGCTTGTAGGCTATGTGTGGAAGCCAGGAGATGCTATGTGTTTAATGTGTTGGATGTTAATTAACGGTCAATTAGCGTGAGACTGGCAGTTTTTTGCTTGACAATCACCGGGTGACAACATTTCCTGACTGCCACAGCCCTAGTCATGAGAGCCACCTCATCCTCCTACTGGTTCCAGGAAACTCTAAACTCAATGACCTCACTCAAGACCTTTGCTGTGAATCAGTGCTGGCTGGTGGCACTTTACATGCTTATAGTAATGGCTGGAACAGAATGATTGGAATGGTATCAAACGCATGGTTTCCTTGTGTTTTGATGCAATTCTGGTTACTCCATTCCAAGCAGCCATAATTATGAGCCGTCCTCCCCTCACCTGCCACCTCTGGTGTGTGAATATGCCCTTGTTGTGGATTTGATGGCAGTGTGTGATTGTGTGTGGTCCCAGGGGGGTGTGGTCTTGGCAGAGTCGCAGCCATTGACGGACAGGCAGATCCAGCAGACGTTACTAACTGAGACAGCAGGGCTGTCGTTCAGGGCGGGGGGGAGCGCTAGAGACCCTCCCTCCGACATGGAGAACGAACCCAGCAGCCCCACTCGCCTCCTCAGGAACATACAGAGACAGGTACATTTTCGAATGTCATTTATTTCAACAGTAACATTGCGACCTAGGTCTCTTTTTCAAGTGAGCCCTCTGTCAGATGATACTGTATATAGAGGATGAGATGTGTTTTTCCTCCTCAGTTCAGTAGATATACAGTGCTGTGAAAGTATTTTCCCCCTTTCTAATTTTCTCTACTTTTGCATATTTTTTATACTGAATTATCAGATCTTCAACCAAAACCTAATATTTGATTAAGGAAACCTGAGTGAACGAATAACACAATTGCGTACTTATTTATGAAACACCCAATGCCCCTGTGTGAAAAGTAATTGCCCTCTTACACTCAATAACTGGTTGTACCACCTTTAGCTGCAATGACTCCAACCAAACTCTTCCAGTAGTTGTTGATCAGTCTCTCACGTTGCTGTGGAAGAATTTTGGCCCACTCTTCCATGCAGAACTGCTTTAACTCAGCGACATTTGTGGGTTTTCAAACATGAACTGCTCGTTTCAAGTCCTGACACATCTCAATTGGGATTAGGTCTGGACTTTGACTAGGCCATTCCAAAACTTCAAATTTGTTGCTTTTTAGCCGTTTTCATGTAGACTTGATTGTTTGTTTTGGGTCATTGTTTTGCTGCATGACCAGAGCAGAATTCATTGTTCCTTCTAATAAGGCAAGTTGTCCAGGTCCTGAGGCAGCAAAGCATCCCCAAACCATCACATTACCACCACAATGCTTGACCGTTGGTATGAGGTTCTTACTGTGGAATGCAGTGTTTGGTTTTCGGCAGGAATAATGGGACCCATGTCATCCAAAAAGTTATACTTTTGACTAATCTGTCCATAGAACATTCAAATCAGATTTTATTTGTCACAAGCGCCGAATACAACAGGTGTAGACCTTACTGTGAAATGCTTACTTACAAGCCCTTAACCAACAATGCAGTTCAAGAAAGAGTTAATATGAACAAAATAAAAAATACATAAAAAGTAATACATTAAAATATCAGTAACGAAGGCTATATACAGGGGGTACTGGTACCGAGTCAGTGTGCGGGGGTACAGGTTAGTTGAGGTAATTTGTACATGTAGGTAGGGGTAAAGTGACTCATGTTTGATACCATTCCAAGAGTCTTGATGATCATACAGGTGCTTCCACGTGCTTTTTGGCAAACTTAAGTCAACTTTTTGGACAAGATGGGTCCCATTTTATGTCTGGCGAAAACCAAACACTGCATTCCACAGTAAGAACCTCATACCAACGGTCAAGTGTGGTGGTGGTAGTGTGATGGTTTGGGGATGCTTTGCTGCAGTTCATGCTTGAAAACCCACAAATGTTGCTGAGTTAAAGCAGTTCTGCATGCAAGAGTGGGCCAAAATTCCTCCCCAGCGATTTGAGAGACTGACCAACAACTACAGGAAGCATTTAGTTGCAGTCATTGCAGCTAAATGTGGCACAACCAGTTATTTAAGATCTCGTGACATTTAGTATAAAACATTTGTAAAAATAGAGAAAATCAGAAAGGGGGCAAATACTTTTTCATGGCACTGTATAGAGGATGATGTGTTGTTGTGTTGTCCTCTCAGAGTGCCCAACTGAGCCAGATCGTCAACAGCCTGATGCCTCCTCTGAACCTCTCTCCCTCCTCCTCTCCCATCTCTAAAGACTCCTGGAGGTGGAAAGGACAGACCAAGAGAGCCTTCAGCAGGTACACACACAATACACCTCGCCAGCCCACATTGTCCTCTCCTGCGTGGTTTAGTTTATAGGATCACCTTACTCTTCCTGGGTTCAACATCTATGGTAGATGCGTAACCAGGCCAGCCCAGTACAATACAGTACAGCTTGGTTTGGCTCGACTCGGTTTGGCCCAGTAGTGTGAAAAGGGTAATGGTGACCTTAACCCACAATCATGTCATAACCAGATATTCCCACTAATGTTTTCTGTAATTAATAGGCTGCTCTTTGCCAATGGCAATATTTATTCTGTTATAATAACTGCTCCCTGTGCCACTGTTGCATACCATGTCAAGGTGAAAATCAATTGGGCTGTCAATCACAGTGTCCATTATTTTATCTGATTTAAAGGCTTTAATTCTTAAAATGTCTTAAATTCTGTTTTCAAAGGTCTTAAATGTGAAGACTACAGTGTTTGCGTTATATTGTGCCACTGCTTAATTGTTGCCACCACGGAAAAAGAAACAAAATGTAACATTAAATAATACTCAAGATCGAGCTATCTACACCTGCGCCTCTGTGTGTGTACATCATGTGCGTGTGCCATTGCCAGTCGGACTGTTGCCAGAAGAGAAAGAGGAGAGAGCAAGGAAGCATATACAATTTGATAGACAACAACACTAACTAGAGCTGGGATGATAAACCGAAAATGACTGACATTGCCCTTTTTGCTTGCGTCGGTAATGTCAGTGATTAGACTACACAACGTTCCTGCTGATTTGTTGGGGTTCTAAAACCATTATTTTGTCAACAGTAATGTGCATTAACCTGCTTCCTGCAATGAAAGCACAGTATCTGCCCTGTCCCTGTTTTGCTGCTGGCTCTTACTCCCGCTCCCCCCTTGACAGATGGAGTGAAGGGAGAGAAGCATTCTGATAAACTCAAGCATACTGACCGTTAAGCAACATTTCGAAATATAATTGCGGGAAAGACACATTTTTTAAAACAACTACTGAGTCTCAGCTTTATCTGAGTAGAACAATTATTTCTCAACTGTCAATATAGAGGAAATAACATCACTTTACAAATGCAGTATGTCATTGAGATGATGCGCCAACGGAGCGGAGTTTGCCATTTGCAGTGGTAGCCTATATAGGCCTACCAATGGAACGTTTTTGTAGGACATTTACCGTTCTATCAATTGCATGGCTAAAGCAACAATATCATATTAAGATTTAGCAATCTAGCTTATATGTTTTGAGTTCCCATTTCCTCAGGTGGTAAATAATTTGTAATGTCTTACTTGGCACTGGAAAAAGTCAGTCTAGAGCCCTCCCGCGTAACTACCTTGCTTGGAAGTATAGCCATTTGATACTTGATTCACTGAATTATTTTATTAGACTTTTGGATTTTAGGCTAATGTTCAAATGTTATAGCATAGTACGTCCAGGAGAGCTACTGGGTGTGTAGACTTTTGTTCCAGCCTCACTCTAACACACCAGATTCTACAAATCAACAGGACCTTATTAAGCTGACTTGGGTGTGTTTGAGCAGTGCTGACAGGTGTGGCATATCAAGAAGCTGATTAAACAGCATGATCATTACACAGGTGCACCTGTGCGGGGGACAAAAAAAGGCCACTCTAAAATGTGCATTTTTGTCACACAACACAATGCTACAGATGTGTCAAGTTTTGAGGGAGCGTGCAATTGGCATGCTGACTGCAGGAATGTCCACCAGAGAATTTATGTAGTTTTAGAGAATTTGGCAGTACGTCCAACCGGCCTCACAACCGCAGACCACGTGTAACCACGCCAGCCCAGGACCTCCACATCCGTCCTTCTTCACCTGCGGGATCGTCTGAGACCAGCCACCTGGACAGCTGTTGAAACTGAGGAGCATTTCTGTCTGTAATAAAGCATTTTTGATGGGAAAAACTAATTATTATTGGCTGGGCCTATGCCCTCCCAAGTGCACCCCTGCCCAGTCATGTGAAATTCATAGATTAGGGCCTAATGAATTTATTTCAATTGACTGATTTCCCTATATGAACTGTAACTCCGTAAAATCATTGAAATTGTTGCATGTTGCGTTTTATGTTTTTGTATTGATATCAAAGCCAAAATTCTGAGAACTTGGGATAGCCTAACAAATGCAGATGGGCGACCGCATGCTTCAGCCGTCTATAGCCTAGCCAGTAGCCAGTATGCTACTACATCCGTCTGGCTTATTGCTAAACTAGCACACCTACCTGGTAATAAGAGCCATGTAGGCTATAGCTTTGGTGAAAGAGCCAGCCCTAAAAATATGACTTTTTACCTCTACATTTGTATTAGATTGCATTCCAAGTGGCATTAAAAAGGTATTTAAAAAGTCTTAAATTCAGCTTCATGTAACCTGCAGATACCCTGCAATCAAAAGCCACATCAAATGGTTCCATACGAAATAAAAATACTATGGATTACTTAGATGCCAGAGATTAGATTCTGTAGGCAGACACTGTTTTAATGATGTGACATAATGGCTTCTAGACAGCCCTGTTATAAGGCACAACCACTCCCTCTAAAAAGCTAGGGTTGTGGAGTTCTTTGGGTGGTACGAACTACCCTCAGGGGTGCTATACTCTAGGACTTCACAGAGCTGCTGTTTGTATTTCTGTCCCAGGCAGCACAGCACAGCAGAGAAAAGTATTTTGAGCAGACTGTTTGTCTAGTTTTAATCCCAAGATATTTCAAGCCCGTTCCAGAGAGGACCAGGAGGCGGTGTCGGGTGAGGTTCGAGGAAGGCCAGGGAGGTTACTGTGATCTAGGAGGATAACTAACTAAATCAGTTCATTTCCTCTAACAAAGGGAAACATAAATATCCCACCAAGGCTGGAAATTACAGGCCCCTAGTGAGTGTTGAACCAGTGACGTTCTAAAGCCAGTATCCGCTAGTCTAGGCTCTGTCCCAAATGGCACCCTGTTTCCTATATAGTGCACTACTTTTGACCAGTGCCCGTAATTATCTGGACAAAAGTAGTGCACTATATAGGGCTATGGGTCCTGGTCAAATGTAGTGGCCGAAGCCCTATTCTACAGCCCAGAGAGGACCTCAGATCTCCTATCCATCACTATGATTTTCAACATGCTCCCTAGCCTTAAAACAACCCGTGGAAAGGTTTCATGTGTCCGGCTATGATTTGGATCAATGACATTAAGCTCAAGTTCTTCCTTCCTCTTGCCCTTTTTACTCTCAATAATTAAGTATGGATTTATTCCAAATTGCACCCTATTCCCTATATAGTGCACTATTTTGAACAGAGCCTTATGGGCCCTGGTCCAAAGTAATGCACTGTAAAGGGAATACGGTGCCATTTAGGACGCTACCCTCAATTCCTAGTTTTCACTGACTCCCACGCTGTCATGGAAATATAGATCAGATCTGGAAGCACTGAGCTAGATCTTGTTGTTTGAGTCGTTTCAGGTTATCTGTCAATACAGCTCAGGGCTCTCTACAAATAGGACTGCTGCATGTGTGTGTTGACTGACTAAAATTTACATTTACATTTTACATTTTAGTCATTTAGCAGACGCTCTTATCCAGAGCGACTTACATGAGCAATTAGGGTTAAGTGCCTTGCTTAAGGGCACATCGACAGATTTTTCACCTAGTCGGCTCGGGGATTAGAACCAGCTACCTTTTGGTTACTGGCACAACGCTCTTACCCACTAAGCTACCTGCCGCCCTATGGTGTGAGTTCAATGACTAAAGGTGTGTCTCAAATGCCACCCTATTCCTTACATGGTTAACTACTTTTGATCAGGGCTCTGGTCAAAAGTAGTGCGCTATATAGGCAATAGAGTGCCATGTCATTTGGGACATATACTAAGTGTCTCCTCTTGTCTCCATGCAGTGGTCTGCTCCTGGGAGGATATGACCCCTTCTCCCAGAAGGGACCCAAGAGGAGGAGAGTGAACCGCAGGAGACAACACTTCCTCCAAGTGGATGCTACCTGTGTCTCAGCCCGCACCCGACCCTTGGTCACCTATCACAAACCTCGACTCTTCATTAACACCAGCCACAGACAGCAGGTAGGGACCTTTCACCTCTGGGCCCATATTCATAAAGCGTCTCAGAGTAGGAGGGCTGATCTAGGATCAGTTTTGCCTTTAAGATCATGATGAATATGATTTTGTGGACGGGGGACCTGATCGTAGATTAGCACTCCTACTCTGAAATGCTTGATACATACGGCCCCTGACCTTCACCTCCTCTCACTCAGGAGGCAAATCACTAACCACCACATCCTCAATGTGTGATGCTATTGCCTGGCTAAAGGCATCACACAAGATTGAAATACAGTGCATGTCTTTATGCCACGTGTTTGGCCAAACCTGAGGTTAGAGGATAGTGTTGGCTGCCAATAATGAAATGTCAGAGGATTGAAAAAAATAAAGTATCCTAAATGAAATTAGGATTAAAGAGCTAAGTAAAGAAAGCTGTTCTGGTTTTTAATGATACGGAACTCAGCTTGACATTTGAGAATTACTCACAGAAACTCAATCATTTCCATGGACTTTAAATAAAGCATAATAATATATTTCTGTCATTTTTGCTAATTGCTATGCAATAACTCTACTGTACCATTAGACTTGAACAAAAGTTTGTTAATCTATGAACTGCTGGTTTATTTAAAGTGGACTGTTAATTGTAGCTGTAGTCTTTGGAAAGGGATCCTATGCTGTGTCATTTACAGGATGTGTCCCTAACAGTGTCATTTAGACACAAGCACTCTGACTGATACATAATAGTCTCATCATAATGCTGTGAAGAGCTCTGTGAAGCAGTTGAACAAGACAGAGTGGAGCAGTGCATTTTAATGTCAAACCCTGCATGACTGCCATTCCCTGCCACTGCTTTGGTCTGGTCTAGCCTGGTTCCAGATCTGTTTGTGGTTTTGCCTACTCCATTGTCATTGTCAGACCAATTCCATAAGGAGTTGGCAAGAGAGCAGAAACAGACTGGCATTCATCTGGTCTGTTCTGCGCTCTAAATATCAACCTGCAACACACATAGCCCATAGGGCTCTGGTCAAAAGTAGTGCACTATATAGGGAATAGGGTGCCATTTGGGACACACAAAGTGTATCCATCTCTTCAGTCCTGCTGCTGATCCTCTAGTCCAGGGTTCCCCAATTGGTGGCCTGCGTGCCTAATTATTATTTCAATTTTCTTATTGTTGGACATAAAAGACTGTAAAAACACCAGGAAATCAGCTCCAAGGGATTTTAATTGTGAAAATCTGTTCCCAAGTATTCCCACGCATAATAGAGAGACACGTGATCATAAGTGTAAACAAGGTTTGAAATGATTATGTTTTAGTCAAATATTATATCTGTTTGGGCTTCTTGTGGTCAATTTGCAGTCTACAAATTATTAGAAATTAAGTTCTGGTCCCCTGACCATCCGCTCAAGAAAAAATCGGCCCGCGGCTGAATCTAGTTGATGATCCCTGCTCTAGTCTCTGCCTCAAAAAAAACAAAGGGAGCCAGGCAGGGGTACCTCTCTGACTGGTGTTATTACAGAGTAAGACAATGTGCCAAGCTTACTGAGATATTAATGGAGGAAAGGAAGGAGAAGAAAGCTGTTAAAGACTTAATTAGTTTAATTAGCGTGATTTAACTGAGCAGCTGGCTGCTCCTCCAGGGCACAGTGACTCACACAGCAACAACACAGCAAGGCAACGTGTTAGCCCAACCCTGGTTTCTCAGTTCTGCTAAGTCACAACACTATGTTTAAACCTTCTGTAAACACATTCACCTTGGTCCTTCTTTTGTAAATTACTTTATATGGTGGTCATTGTCTCTGAGAGTATTGCTATCTTCAAGAGCCACAGGTGGTTTGCGTTAATAATAGTTTCCTGGATTAAATCAGTGGTATCCACAGGTCCTGGAGGTGTATGGAGTAAGTTATTCTACTATCTGTAAATTACTGCTTTTATTCATCCCTCCTCTCTCCTGTAGGACCCAGCCTCCCTCTCCTCCTCCCTCTGTCCCACCTGTGTCTCCTGTGACCCCCTGGCCCTGTGTTCTGACCCAGCTTGTTCCTCCGGCAGCACCCTGACCTCCAGGACCAGTCGCTTTAGGACACACCCTGTTCTCTCTCTCCCCTCAGGTAGGTACATCCCTCCCTGTGCTGGACAGACATTATGATACTGTATGTGTTGTTGTGTTAGGCTAACTGGACTGTACCTAGGGCTGTTGTGGTGACCGTATTACTGCCACACCGGCAGTCATGAGTCATGACCGCAGTCAAATTCCACGTCACGGTATTCTCCTCTTATGCACTCTGGACATGCGTTGGTAGTACCCAACTCGCTAACGACCATCAGGTCACCAAGGGCCTGGTACTCAGGGCTCTATTGTCCCTCTAACCACTCTGACATCAATGCAAATGCTTTCAAAGAATACATCAAACACTTATCATCAAAACAGTGCCATGCTTTTAAAAACTCACCATTAGGCTACATTTGTTGACCTCACTGTGATGATCAATTTGAAGAAAGAAGTTCAACAGGTGGAAACTGAGTGGAAAAAATGGTCATTGTGGATGTTGTTTCAAAGCACAACGAAATGGACAGGCTTTCTAAGGTGATGATTCATTCAAAGCATTTAAAGCTGCACTATGCAGAAATCTCTCTGCCATTTCCTGGTCGCTAAAATTCTAATAGTTCGCCTAATTTCAGTTTATGTGACAAAACAAGCATGTATAGTGAAGAGAATCATTGTACCATATAAACCAGTGTTTCCCAACCCTGGTCCTCCAGTACCCCCAACAGTATACATTGTTATTGTAACCTTGGACAAACACACCTGATTCAACTTGTCAACTAATCATCACGTCCTCAATGAGTTGAATGAGGTGTGTTTGTCCGGGGCTACAACGAAACTGTACTGTTGGGGGTACTCGAGGACCAGGGTTGGGAAACACTGGTCTAAACCGCTGCGAAATATATTTTCCATAACCAAAAATATTGTATTTTCAGCTGTTTGAAGCTAGTGTACAAAACCAAAGTAAAAGAGGCAAAAACGTAACTTAAGAACGGGAACCATAGAAATAGAGCGCACAGAACAGATATACTGCTTCTTAGACTTGCTTTCAATTAAGAATGACAGATCTATAACTTACCTTTCTATGTGAATTTGGTGGGGTCGCCCAAAAAGTTACATATTGCAGTTTAAGACGTTGCATGTAGAACACCAATACGCATATTATTGTCCATTTACAGATGCGGAAAATAGAATACAGTACAGTGTATTCTGCAAAACGTATTCTGTTACCCTGTCCTTCTCAAGCCCTTTAAATCACCTTCCTTGGTCTGTGTTTTCCTGTAGCTCTATCATTTACATTTTAGTCATTTAGCAGAAGCTCTTATCCAGAGCGACTTACAGTTAGTGAGTGCATACATTTTCATACTCTATCTATTGTGCTGTGGAGGTTACATCCCACGCACCCTCACTCTCAGAACAGCTCTCTCTCTGTTGTATGTGGAATGTAGACTATAGAGTTATTAAGACCTGACAGGGCTCTCAAATCAACAATGCAGCTGTTAGCTGTACTCCACACAGCTGTATTGGGATGAAGTTATTACTGGGGGATCTGGCTAGGAGATGGTGTATTGGCTCTTATAACCTGGGTGGTTCGAGCCCTGAATGCTGATTGGCTGACAGCCGTGGTATATCAGACCGTATACCATGGGAATGACAAAACATTTATTTTTACTGCACTAATTACATTGGTAACTAGTTTATAATAGCAATAAGGCACCGTTGCGTTGTGCCTAAGAACAGCCCTTAGCCATGGTTTATTGGCCATATAACACACCCCCACGTGCCTTATTGCTTAATTGTACAGGGGTGGGCAAACTTTTTGGCTCAAGGACCACATCGGGATTTCGATTATTATTATAAAAAATTCATTGTGGGCCGCATCTGCTCTAGTATGTAGGAAGGTAGATGGAGAGATTCAGAGAGTCATGCTCATTGTTCGATCCATATTCTTCTAGAATGTTCTTCTTCTATTCTTCTCTTCAAACTTAATCCAGACCAAACCTGCTGACTGAGTGTATCTCGTCTCCACAGATAGCCTTCTGTCCCACCACCTCCAGAACTCTGCCCTGCTCAGAGAGGACTGGGTCCAGCGACCTCTACTACCGGTCAAGACAGAGTCCAGTCATGTCTACTACCACCAGAGCTATAGGGACAGGGGACACACTTCTCCATCAGGGTTCAGTGAGTAGCATCTAATAGACTATTACTAATGGTTTCAGAAAACAGTATGACCCATCTTAAAACCAACAGTGTCCCCTGAAACCTGGCAGGGATTCCTCCTCTTTTAAAGTAATAGATTGACAGTGATCTCAGCTATGCTCATATCTGGTGTAAAGACTCCTACTGAGCTACCAGTGTAGATTAGATGTTTTGGCATTGGCAGTAATTCTCTTTGGCATCTCACCGGGGGACTTTCACAGCAGTAAGCTCTGAGTCAGCTAGTCTAATCATTACTCTCCTGTTGCTCTTCGCCGCTCGCTCTGTTGGCTATTGACTGCAGGAGGGTTAACGATCCTAAACATTCCCAATGATCCTCACTGGGCTGAAGGGAGAGGTTCTGAGGCTGTGGCTGGAGAGAGGGGCTGGCTAGAGGGGTTGAGGAGAGGGGTTGAGGGGCTGGGGCACTGGCACATGGCTAATTAGGAGAATGCTGGTTTAGTCTTAGAGACGTAATCTACACTGCTCCACTCGATTTCCTGTCAGCCTGAATCACCCCACACGGACAATGATTGATCTAAAAACAAACACCACAAGGAATATTCTACTGACATTTGCTATTATGTGGTAGATCACCCTTACTTGTTCGCGTGAGATGTTGTGAGAGGGAGGGAGAGGGGGAAATTGTTGTGAGAGGGCGGGAGAGGGGGAGAGGGGGAAAATGTTGTGAGAGGGAGAGGGAGGGAGAGGGGGAGATGTTGTGAGAGGAGGGGAGTTGTTGTGTGAGGGAGGTGAAGGGCAATGTGTGAAAGACAGGAAGGGAAGAGGGGGGAGATGAGAGAGCTGCAGGTATTGTCCTGCTTATCTGGCCCTGACAGGCAGGCAGCACGGCGGTGGCAGTTTGAGGCGTTATTTAGGATTCAGCACCACTTGTCCTGTTCAGCCCTGCAACCTTACAGCTCAAACTGCAGATTACCATATCATCGATGTCATTATCAGCCCCCAAACAACAACATATCTGTTATCCTAACAATGAAACAGGCCCAAGACAAAGACCTTGATTGTTTGTAGAACTGAAGTGGGAAAGCATTGAGAAGGCATATGTCTAACCTAATGGGATTAATAGTTAAACATTAGACTGATATGTTATTATAGGCTACTCTCTAACCAAGCCTTGTAATCCTATGGGGGATTTGGAAGGTGGTTTCACAGACAAGGGGAATTCCAGTCTGTTGCGTTAACATGGCTGCTGTGTCATTCCAGGTTACAGCCACATGCAGCATGGGAGGAACCGGAGGGGAGTGGCCAGGGGCGTGTCACCTGTCAGATGGGCGGGTTCCGCTCAGACCCCACACAGGAAGGCCTATCGCGGGGGGAGGAAGAAGAGACACACCCACAGGACCATAGAAGGTACACTACATGGCCAAAAGTATGTGGACACCTGCTCGTTGAACATCTCATTCCAAAATCATGGGCATTAATATGGAGTTGCCCCCCCCCCCCCCCCCCATGCTGCTATAACAGCCTCCACTATTCTGGGAAGGCTTTCCACTAGATGTTGGAACATTGCTGCGGGGACTTGCTTCCATTCAACCACAAGAGCATTAGTGAGGTCGGGCACTGATGTTGGGCGATTAGACCTGGCATGCAGTCGGCGTTCCAACTCATCCCAAAGGTGTTTGATGGGGTTGAGGTCAGGGCTCTGTGCAGGCCAGTGAAGTTCTTCCACACCGATCTTGACAAACCATTTCTGTATGGACCTCGCTTTGTGCACGGGGGCATTGTCATGCTTAAACAGGAAAGGGCCTTCCCCAAACTGTTGCCACAAAGTTGGAAGCACAGAATCTTATAGAATTGCATTGTATGCTGTAGCGTTAAGATTTCCCTTCACTGGAACTAAGGGGCCTAGCCTGAACAATGAAAAACAGCCCCAGACCATTATTCCTCCTCCACCAAACTTTACAGTTGGCACTATGCATTGGGGCAGGTAGCGTTCTCATGGCATCCGCCAAACCCAGATTCGTCCATCGGACTGCCAGATGGTGAAGCGTGATTCATCACTCCAGAGAACGTGTTTCCATTGCTCCAGAGTCCAATGGTGGAGAGCTTTACACCACTCCAGCCGACGCTTGGCATTGCACATGGTGATCTTAGGCTTGTCTGCGGCTGCTCAGCGGTCCCGTTCTGTGAGCTTGTGTGGCCTACCACTTCGTGGCTGAGCCGTTGTTGCTCCTTGATGTTTCCACTTCACAATAACAGCACTTACAGTTGACCGGGGAAGTTCTAGCAGGGCAGAAATTTGACAAACTGACTTGTTGGAAATGTGGCATCCTATGACGGTGCCACGTTGAAAGTCACTGAGCTCTTCAGTAAGGCCATTCTACTGTCAATGTTTGTCTATGGAAATTGCATGGCTTGGTCCCAATTTGTATATACCTCTCAGCAACGGGTGTGGCTGAAATAGCTGAATCCACTAATTTGAAGGGGTGATCCCTGGGATAGGATTTTTCTTGATTAATCAGGAATTCCTGCTTCTCTGACATTTATTCTCCATTAAATTCTAATAGAAACTGACCTATCCCCTAGCTAAGTCATGATTTCCTTGATTTTCTATGTTGTCCTGATCATATCCAACTGGTTATTACATGCATGTAGCCTGCTAGTGTAGTTATGTAGTCATTACACATATGCTATGTAGCCTGTTACAGAGCGACCCATGGTGTTAACAGTAATGTGTTGTTGGTCTCTAGATGAAGAGGACCTCTTGTCTCAGCTGTCAGACCCTGAGAACAGTCCAGAGGAGAGCCTGGAGGATGCCGTTACACCCCAGACCTCACACACACATAAACAGGTAGCACACACACACACTGTAGCTCCAATACTGCCTGGTTACCTGTGTGCATTATAGCTCCAATACTGCCTGGTTACCTGTGTGCATTATAGCTCCAATACTGCCTGGTTACCTGTATGCATTATAGCTCCAATACTGCCTGGTTACCTGTGTGCATTATAGCTCCAATACTGCCTGGTTACCTGTGTGCATTATAGCTCCAATACTGCCTGGTTACCTGTGTGCATTATAGCTCCAATACTGCCTTGCTACCTGGATTTATAGCTTGAGTAGTAAGCAACTTGTCAATTGACTTGTAATACATTGCATTCTGAGTTGAGAAGTTTATAATGAACGGTGTGCTTGTTGATGTATTAGAGAGCTATGTGACAGTTTTGTTTATGTTATTTTGTTCTCAGGGCCCAATCCGCAGACGTCAGGGAGAGAGTGTTTACAACATTGACAACATCGTCATCCCCATGGCCCTGGCTGCCACTACCAAGGTGGAGAAACTCCAGTACAAAGACATTATAACACCAAGGTATGACTTCTGGTGCTTGTTCTTTGGCTTGAGTTACTTCTCAACAAAAACTACAGCCTCCTGTTTTTGCTTAACACTATTTTGAGTTTGAATGATCAAACCTTTCCAGAAAATAGTCTGTTCTTTGATGTCCTTTGATTTGTGTGTTAGTTCTTCACCTTACACGTTGAGCTGCTCCTCCCTCCGACCCTACAGCTGGAGAGTGGTTGATAACGCACCCCTGGAGGAGAGAGAGAGACAGGAAGAGGAGGAGGAAGAGGAGCTGCTGTGTGACGAGACCTTTTCCCAGAGGCATCTGGGGTGCGAAAAGAGAGAGAAACTCTGCTGGACCTCCTGGGATAAGAGCAGATGCTACAGACGCACCACCAGGTGGGCACTGGGCACCTCACACTTCAACTTTCTGCTCCTGATTGAACCTGCAATAAAGCTTATCATCTCAATGTATCTCAATACAATACACAGTGTCTGTTTTTTCCTTAGAGGATGAAGTGCGGCATACTCTTGTTCCGATGCAGTAGTTTCTATTTAATATCACCTGTCTCTGTAGGTCTGGCAGTAGGAACGATGGAGCAGGTGTTTCTGAATGGGACTGCGCTGTCAGGGGTGACACCAGAAGGGACACCAGAAGGTGACACCAGAGGTGACATGAGCACTCACGTGGACTGGAGCTGCAGTCATCTGGACACGGACACAGACAGAGCCTTAGAGGAGTGGGTGGTAAGAAAGGACATTCACTGTCTAGTCCTTACCAGCCTGAAGTCTGGATCCTGGTTCACCTCTTTGTTACATTCTGAGTATGACGTCTTGGTACTACCAGTTCTTAACCCTGCTGCAGGGTTTTCATTATGAAAATGTGGTGCTGGAAATTTCACCAGCAACATTTTAATTTACCTGACATTTGAGAAGTTTACTGGACCCATATGCATTGGGTGCATAACCTGATTCGGGCGTCCACCCACGGTGCTCATAATGACAGAAATCACTTTTAGGTTATGGTAATTCATCTTAACAGAACATGCAAGTAGAGGATGCAATGAAGTGCGTCCTTCTTATCGAATTCTGATGTGCACTTTGTCCACATTTACTTTTCCTCAGCCAAAAAGTAACAAACAGCAACATCACTAGCCTATGTCAATCTACTATCTCCCATAGTAGAAACGTTGACCTCTTCTATTGGTCAGCTTGTTGAGAAAGAAATAGCCTACAGAAAAAAAAAGCAATGAGTGATGCAACGGATCAGAACGTTTAGCTTAAAATGTTGCTAAACTATTAGGCCTATTTATTCACATTATAAGCGCAGCAATGCGCACAAGGCCTTAGTCTTCTCGCAAATGTTAGCTTCATAATAGGCCTACAATTAGAAACAGGGGAAATTTAAGGATGCAACAACTATGGGTTGCTAATATGACTAGGATTGTGCCTTAGGCTAAAAAGCATTATTTCGCAATGGGATTAGTATTTTTTTCTCCCTGATAATTGTCCAGTGCCAATTTTATTTATTGGCTTTGCTATTTATTTTTGGGCCAAAGGCCAGCTATTACCGGCTAACAGAAACCCTGCCCTGCTGGTAGGAACATTCCAATCAATAACCTATTAACTTTAATGCAGAGTTGCTAGCATAAACTATGCTATTTTCTGTTATACACAAGTATGTTAATAATCAAGCTGAATTAGTTAAAGCTTTTACTTACAAGCATGACTCACTGAGACTGAACAACCGTTTCTGATTAGGTGAGATATGAATATTGGGCATATCATGTAAGAGGCTTTAGTACAGCACCCATTAGTTGTGACCATGAAACGTCCCTGAAATAAAAAGCCTATCAGATATCGGCTGTGTATATCTGCAATAGGAGGGTTTGTGGGTAGTAGGCTGGTTGAGGAGCTCTTGAGCCTACACAGATGCACTGTGGGTGATTAGACATGGCTGATTGGAGTGGTTTCTGATTGGACTGAAGTCTTAACAGGAGAAAGCTCAGCAGCACAGGCACTATGGATGCAAATTTTGGTGAACTAATTGACCCCCATTAACCAGTTAACAATCGGTTACATTAGTTCCAAACAGCAAAATAACGTAGCCTAGAGAAAATACTATGCATGTGTATTCATGGGTTGCATGTTTCGTCATATTGTTTTGAACGTTTGTTTTGTACTGAGGACCAACTGAGCATTCTTCTCAATGCATTGCCAATGAGCACTGATGAAAAAGATTTCTTCAAAAGTGCATTACAGTGGCTTGGAAATACAATGCATTTCAAAAGGAAGCAAATGATTAGTAGGAAAATCTTTTGTCATCATTTTGATGTTGCCAGATTGACTTTAGATGCAGTGTAACGTTAGCTAGTTAGCTAAGATTAAGGGGAGGTCACCAGATTTTAGCTAGCTAACGTTAGCGTTGCTAGCTATTTATGACTAACTTTGCTAGCTAATGACAACATTGTCATCTGTTCTAAAGTTCATTTGACGACATCATAATGCTGGCAAAGTTGTTTCTTACTAAACATTAGACTACCTTAGCATTGTCATCGTATTTCCAGACACTATAGTGTAATTTAGATGAAACATTTGTTAGACTCTTTCCAGGAATTATGTACAGATCCCAAACATGCTCAATGTCTGGTGAGTATTCAGGCCATGGAAGAACTGGGACATTTTCAGATTCCCGGAATTGTGTAAAGATCCTTGCAACATGGGGCTGTGTATTATCATTCTGAAACGATGGCGGCGGATGAATGGCACAACAATGGGCCTTGTGGATCTCATCACGGTATCTCTGTGCATTCAAATTGCCATTGATAAAATGCAGTTGTGTTCGTTGTCCGTAGCATATGCCTGCCCATACCATAACCCCACCGCCACCATTGGGAATTCTGTTCACAATGTTGACATCAGCAAACCGCTCGCCCACACGACACCATACACGCGGTCTGCCATCTGCCCGGTACAGTTGAAACATGGATTCATCCGTGAAGAGCACACTTCAAAGGTGAGCATTTGCCCACTGAAGTCGGTTACAACGCAGAACTGCAGTCAGGTCAAGACCCTGGTGAGGACGACGAGCACGCAGATAAGCTTCCCTGAGATGGTTTCTGATAGTTTGTGCAGAAATTCTTCGGTTGTGCAAACCCTCAGTTTCATCAGCTGTCTGGGTGGCTGGTCTCAGACGATCCCGCAGTTGAAGAAGCCTGGTGTGGAGGTCCTGGGCTGGCGCCGTTACACGTGATCTGCGGTTGTGAGTCAGTTTGGACTACTGCCAAATTCTCTAAAACTACATCAATTCTCTGGTGGACATTCCTGCAGTCAGCATGCCATTTGCATGCTCCCTCAAAACTTGAGACATATGTGGCATGGTGTTGTAAGGCAATAAATAGTAAAAATGCCAAGGGGGTGAATACTTCCGCAAGCCACTGTACATATACACATTTTAGAGTGGCCTTTTATTGTCCCTAACACAAGGTACACATGTGTAATGATCATGCTGTTTAATCAGCTTTTTGATATGCCACACATGTCAGGTGGATGGATTACCTTGGCAAAGGAGAAATACTCACTAACAGGGATGTGCACAACATGTGAGAGAAATAAGCTTTTTGTGTGTATGGAATATTTCTGGGATCTTTTATTTCAGCTCATGGAACATGGGACCAACACTTTACATGTTGCGTTTATATTCGTGGTCCTCTGTAGCTCAGCTGGTAGAGCACGGCGCTTGTAACGCTTGTATCCCCGGGACCACCCATACACAAAAAAAATGTATGCACGCATGACTGTAAGTCGCTTTGGATAAAAGCGTCTGCTAAATGGCATATTATATTATAACAGGTCTAAATATGTGTCATGACAGTGTTATGACCATATTATGACAAGTTATGTCAGCTGTTATAACATTATGACATGGTTATGTATGTGTCATAACATGTTATGATGCTAGGTGTCAAGTAAAGTGTTATGACTAGGATTGTGCTTTAAGCTTGTGGACAGCTAAATAAAGTTGATATCGAAACCAATAGAACAGGTAGAGAAATGCTGATTTTAAAATGGGATCAATAGAAAGCTGGGATCCTCCTCTGTTCAATAGACTAGCCAACTCTGTTTTCACTGGAATTGTAATAAGAATTGTTGTGCAATGGCTGGGCTTATATTAGCCTACAGGTTTCACTTCAAGCATCAACCAACCTCGCTGCCCGACAGGTGATATTCTGCTTAAACTAAGCTCTGTATGCAGTACGTGTGTGATAAACAAGATACATGACGGACTAACAAAAATACACACCCACTAAATTATGCTAATTAACCTGTTATAAACCGATAAGCATGATCGGTCAAATGTATTTTTGGCAGCTAACTGATCAACGGTTAACCGTTAATATCCCTAACAGGTACATTTACATCTCTTTACTTTTACCATTCAAAAATGCTGAATTTAACCAAATGACTTTGTTTCAGATCTTAGTATTGGCAGATAAATTATTTGAATATTGTTCCTAATGCATGACTCCTACAGAAAGAGAGAGACTGTTTAACTGGTTCTATGGTGGCAGAACAGGTATATTTATTTGACCTCCGTGGTGCCACTGGCTATCCTAAGTTGAATGCACCAATTTGTAAGTCGCTCTGGATAAGAGCGTCTTTTAATGTAAATGTAATGCAGCTTTATGAAGTCAGTCTGGTCATGATAGACTGGGAGTGGTGTCTGTCAGCTTGGTGGTTGTCAGGAGATAGGGAGAGTGCCCACTTTTAGTCGCACATTCAGTGTACAGGCTGCAGGCTCCCTGGGGCGCAGGATGTGGGTGTGAAAGTCACAGGGACCATCCACACCTCACTTGGGAGCCTGTTAATGGCTGTTTCTGTACTTGTCATACGTCCTTCAGCTTGCGTTATTGTTCTTTGAATAGCGTTTTAAATTGAATCCTTTATCATAGGAGAAGATAAAGATGCGCAGTGAGTATTATACTATCTCAATGTCATTTTTGCTGAACGTTACCCACATATTAAAGTGATAAATGTAATATCCTCATATCTAATGTAGCCGTCATTACTCCCTCCTCCTACCTCCCTTTGTCTGCAGCCTCGACTCCCGTGGGACAGTCGTGTGTTCCCGCTGTGTGAGGATGAGGCTCTAAGGTGTCATGAAGAGGAGCAGGAGGAGCCTCGCTGGGAGGAGAGAGAGAAAGCAGATTCCACTAGCAGCACAGATGACAGCAGCAGCTCTGTCCAGTCACCCCCATCCTCAGCCCTGTCTTCAGCCCTGTCCCTGTCCAGTACAACGGCACCACCTGCTGGATACTATGAGAACAGCACCCTAACAGCAGACAGCAGTCACCTGAAATGACTTGGCTTTACCATGGCACAGGTACAACACAGCCACTGACATACAAGACAGTTCATAATGTTTCACTTTTTATTGTTAATATTAATATATAGATTTGAAATATTTAATTAGTGCTTTATACAAGTATATATATATATTTTTTTTTTACGGTATTGTTGTACTGTATGTATGGCTGGGCTGGATTTGTTATGAAACAATAGAAGTTTATGAGACCAACTACCTGTAACTGCACCCACTCATCCATTGATTAATGGTTTATTAATGGTTAAATATGGCAAGAGTGTTCCACACTGTTTTAAGTACCTGTGTTGTCTCTCCTCTCCAGATCGCTTCAGGAGTTTAGGGGACCCAAAGGGACAAAGATACAAGAGGAGGCCTGAACTCCCTGGAGTAGATGTCACACATAATGTGTACCTCATTTTAACGTACACATTATATTTAATTACACGCTATATTTCCTAAACACAGTGATGTTTTATTTGGGTTCAAATGTTTTGGAGGAGTGTTTTTTTTATTTAAAACATTGTGATTAGTTTTAATGCTTTCAGTTTCTATGCTGTATTTTAAGGTATTGGTTGGGATTGTGTTGGATATTCAACATATACACATTTAACATTTTTAAAAGTTACCCTGACCTGCATTCATATTGAAGATCTGTGTACTAGTGCACAATCGATCGTAACCTTGGCTGACAATGTACCACAGTATGTAAATAGTTGTTGCCTGATATTTATTTTATGTTTCAAGATGTGTCTGAAAATGCAGTCTTAAAATATATATATATATAAATATATGTGTACGTACATATTTTTAGATTTTCACCAGTTTATTTCTTGGTTAGCAGATAATTTTTTAAATACGATTTTTATACAGACCAAACAGTTTAAGTTGTTTTGTTGGTGTACTGCTTGTCTCAGCTTGACAGCGGTGTCATCTCTGTTGATGACATTAAAATCATTCAGGCCACTGTTGTTTGGCTATTGTTATCACATTATTAAGGACAAAACAGACTGCTGAAAAACGGTTAAAAGCAGCGGGGGGTTGTCTTATCGCAACTGACCACAGAACATCGGACGCCAGTTTCTGTTCATGTCCCGATGATTCTACATAGCAGGTGAACTTCTGTGCTGGCAGAGGTTCGTTAAGGTGTCTTTTACTGTATTGAGCCATCAAAACAGTTACTGTGTAATGACTGTTTTACCCATGCTCAACAAAGTGTGGCACTATTGTCTTTGATAAACACAATAATTTAGTGGGACACAAAACTGTTTAGCTAGAGGCCTTAAAAGTAGTTTGTGACTATACCATTTTATCCTTCAGTAGCATCATCAGGGGGTGCGTCCCAAATGTCACCCTATTCTCTAGAGCGCTACTTTCGACCAGGGCCCATATGGCGCTGGTCAAAAGTAGTGCACTATGTAGGGAATAGGGTGCCATTTGGAAGGCTAATTGCAGGCAAGTAGTGCTCAATGTTATAAGCTCCAACTGAGGCAGGATTGGAGAACAACGGACGAGGAGAGGGGAGGGTTGTATCTGAGATTCCTTTTCCCCTCCTTCATTATACCAGACTTGAAATCGAGAGGAGCCATTGCCCTTATACCTTCCTTGAAGTGTGCTTAAAGGGGCAGTGCAGTTAAAAATGTGATTTTCCATTTTTATGATTATTTTGTACATATAAGGTTGAAATAACACTGCATTTGTGGAAATGATGACAATGCACGTTTTGTGTAAGAGCTGTTTGATTATTTGTGTTGCCTGTGCTACAGATGGCTATATTGGTCTGCTAATACAGGAGTAGTAAAGGCCCAGTGATATACATTTTTGGAATGTTTTTTCTCCAATATGTTTATTTTACTTTTTTTATATACAATACCAGTCAAACGTTTGGACACACCTACTCTTTTCTTTATTTGTACTATTTTCTACATTGTAGAATAATAGTGAAGACATCAAAACTATGAAATAACACATGGAATCATGTAGTAACCAAAAAAGTGTTTTTATATTTGAGATTTTTCAAAAAGCCACCCTTTGCCTTGATGACAGCTTTTCACATTCTTGTCATTCTCTCACCAGCTTCACCTGGAATGCTTTTCCAACAGTCTTGAAGGAGTTCCCACATATTTTGAGCACTTGTTGGCTGCTTTTCCTTCACTCTGCCGTCCGACTCATCCCAAACCATCTCAATTGGGTTGAGGTCGGGGGATTGTGGAGGCCAGGTCATCTGATGCAGCACTCCATCACTCTCCTTCTTGGTGAAATAGCCCTTACACAGCCTGGAGGTGTGTTGGGTCATTGTCCTGTTAGAAATGATAGTCCCACTAAGCCCAAACCAGATGGAATGGCGTATCGCTGCAGAATGCTGTGGTGGCCATGCTGGTTAAGTGTGCCTTGAATTCGAAATAAATCAGTGTCACCAGCAAAGCACCCCCACACCATAACACCACCTCCTCCATGCTTTACGGTGGAACTACACATGCAGAGATCATCCGTTCACCCACACCGCGTCTCTCAAAGACACGGCGGTTGGAACCAAAAATCTCAAATTTGGACTCCAGACCAAAGGACACATTGCCACTGGTCTAATGTCCATTGCTCGTGTTTCTTGGCCCAAGCAGGTCTCTTCTTCTTATTGGTGTCCTTTAGTAGTTGTTTCTTTGCAGCAATTTGACAATGAAGGCCTGGTTCACACTGTCCCCTCTGAACAGTTGATTTTGAGATGTGTCTGTGACTTGAACTCTGAAGTATTTATTTGGGCTGCAATTTCTGAGGCTGGTAACTCTAATGAACTTATCCTCTGCAGCAGAGGTAACTCTGGATCTTCCATTCCTGTGGCGGTCCTCATGAGAGCCAGTTTCATCATAGGGCTTGATGGTTTTTGCGACTGCACTTGAAGAAACTTTCAAAGTTCTTTAAATGTTCCATATTGACTGACCTTCATGTCTTAAAGTAATGATGGACTGTCGTTTCTCTTTGCTTGTTTGAGCTGTTCTTGCCATAATATGGACTTGGTCTTTTACCAAATAGGGCTATCTTCTGTATACCACCCCTACCTTGTCACAACACAACTGATTGGCTCAAACGCATTAATAAGGAAATAAATTCCACAAATTAACTTTTAAGAAGGCACACCTGTTAATTGAAATGCATTCCAGGTGACTACCTCATGAAGCTGGTTGAGAGAATGCCAAGAGTGTGCAAAGCTGTCATCAAGGCAAAGGGTGGCTATTTGAAGAATCTCAAAAATAAAATATATTTTGATTTGTTTAACACTTTTTTGGTTACTACATGATTCCATATTTGTTATTTCATAGTTTTGATGTCTTCACTATTATTCTACAATGTAAAAAATTTTTAAAATAAAGAAAAACCCTTGAATGAGTAGGTGTGTCCAAACTTTTGACTGGTAGTGTATCTTTTTTTAAATTATTGTTCTAATTTTTCAGGGGGTGCTGCAGCACCCTTAGCATCCCTAGTTCCCTTGGCTATGCACCCATCACATAACAGCAATAGGCAAGGCCAAGGAAAGGGTCTGTTTAGTCACTGTGAAGTAGTATCTGTTTTGCAGTTTATTATAAGATGTAGAACGGTTTAAAGTGTTGCCACAATAGGCCTACTGGGTATGACAAGGAGAAAACAACATCAATAACATGACCTAACCAGCCTGGTGGACTAGGGCTGCATCCGAAGTGGCACCCTATTTGCACTATAGGTGTCTGGTCAAAAGTAGTGCACTATATAGGAAATGGGGTGCCATTTGGGACGAAGCCCAGGTTACTAACTACTGTATGTAGTAGTAGGTGACCCTGACTACCCTTTCACTGTGTGGCTATGTTGTTGTTTATGAGGGTTGACCTGTAACAGGGTTGGGGTATTGATCTGTCATGATGAGAAAAGCCTGTCGGCTCCAATGTGTTTCAGTGAGTCATAATAACTAACACCATAGTTGCATCCCTAATGGCACTCTATTTCCTGTACAGCCTTGAGCGGTTCTTGTCTATTGATGTTCTGTATCTTGTCATGTTTTATGTTTTGTGTGGACCCCAGGAAGAGTAGCTGCTGCTTCAGCAAGCGCTAATGGGGATCCTAATAAAATACAAAAATTACTAAATACTAGCCCGATGGCCATTAGTGGGAACAAAAAAATTAGAGGGAACATTGTGTATGGGTCCTGGTCAAAAGCAGTGCACTATAAAGGGAATAGGGTGCCAGCAGTCATCCTGCTCACTGTCCTTCACATAAGTCTATCTGCCCTCAGTGCATTGTAGGCATGGACTGGATGACTATATGCTGTGTGCAAAATGGTAGCCTACCTAAAGAACTGATAGGCTAGTGTTCAGTGCTATTTTGAATGTCACCCTATATCCATTAATACAGCCTAACCAAGTGTCATAGTCATTAATTTGCTTTTATTAGAAATGGAAACGTTATGTTACGATGTTACTCCATGGTTCACTGTAACACATTTTGCTACATCGTGAATAGCCTATGAGTTATACTAGGCAGACTTGCAGTGTATATAATAGACCGGTATAGACTGTATTGAATTTTGTAGCGCCCCTCTTGAAATACTTACGGTAGTCACGGAGTAGCGGGAGGGGTGAAGTGGGCCCAGGATTCCATTGCCACTCACTGTGCTCCGAGAACGAGTTCTACTGCAAAGCCACTGCACCGAACAGGTATGATGACATATTTGTGTATATATATATAGATGAAAACCATAATGTAAGTGGAACATGGTCAGGAGTTTTTGCCTGTATCTTCCACTATTTTATTCATTCATATCACCATGTTGGTTTTATTAAGTTTTCTAATTGTGTGCATCAGTGCATGAATATAAAAAATGTGAGCTACCCAATTGAATCGATTCAGTGAATGGACGCATTGTTCATTGCCACTGTGTCGGAACTGCTGAAGAGTGCCGGGCAGCAATACATATTTTGTGGACACTTCAAATGCGACCTACCTCATTTTATTTTGTTTGATTAAAAAGGTTAAAT